TTGGGAATTCATCACAAGGGGAGTTTCTTGGTCGTTCAAAGGGGCTGATGGCAGGGACGAGTCACCTGTATCACCCGTGGAGATGGACTCCAGAGATGAGCCACCTCCTTGTCACGTCATCACCATCACAAGCCACCTCCTTGTCACCTATGTCACCCATGGAGATGGCCCCCAGAGCATGTCACCTCCTTGTCACTGCACTGCCATCATGTGTCACCTGTGCAAATGGACCCCAAAGATGAGCCACCTCATCACCATCATGTGGCACCCATCGTGTGTTAACACAGACCCGAGAGATAAGCTACATCCTTGTTACCACGTCATCAATGGAGATGGACTCTGGAGACCAGCCATCTCCTTGTCACCTCATGGCTATCACAGTGTGTCACCCATGGAGATGGACCCAAGACGAGCCACCTCCTTGTTACTGCAGTGTCACCATGAACTGTTTCCCACGGAGGTAGACCCCCAAGACAAGCCATCTCCCTGTCACATCATCACCATCGCAACATGGAGACGGATCCCAAGGACAGAGGAAGGAACCACTGCTACCATTGCTGCCACCACCACTAGCTTGCCAGGGCGGAGGAGACCCCACTGCCTCCAGCTCCGCAGCCCTATGAGGGTGCTTCTTCCAAGTCCCAAATCCGGAGCAATCCCTTACCTTGTAAAGCTCCTCATCAAACTGGCTGAGCTGGGCCACCTCCTGCATCACCTCCTTGCGCATGAAGAAGGGGGTGTACACCGGGGTGTACCCCCGGGCACGGAGGCTCTGCAGCGCGTACTGGATCAGCGCCTGCTCCAGGAACACCAGCGGGCCCTGGGAACAAGGGTCACACTGCCTGACACCACACACACACTCAGCTAGGCCACTCCTCCTTGCTCAGAGGGCCCAGGAGGCCTCTGGAGGCTCCCATCAATCAATCCCAGGGAAGGAGAACCCAAGGCCCCTGTCCCTCCACGTTCCTCTCTGAACCCGATCATTCTGGGGTCACAGCTCTCACCTTAAGGAAGTAGCCACGGCTGCCAGCCACCACGGCGCCCTTTTCCCCCTCATAGCCATCCACCATCACCACCAGATCCACATGAGAATACTTCTTCCTGCAGCTGCAGTCACCCCATACCCGCTCCACCTTGTTGTCCACATCCTGCAGGAACCCGGAGAAAAGAAGAGCAGGAGCCTATCACCTCCTCAGTGCCCTGGAACACTGTGACACCAGTCCCTGAACCACACTGGGCCCACTTTGAGGGCTCAAACTCCAGCCTGTAGCTTATTGTGTGGGCACTTGGCAACAAGCCTGGCTCAGTTGTGCTCCCCCTGGGAAAATATTCCCGTGGGATGAATGGAAGCAACAGAGGGAGACCCCGTCCTCACCGCAGTAAGCGCCTTTCCCATGAATTCCCCCAACAATGGTGTGCTCAGTGTTGTCTGAGCTGCTCTTTGTCTGATCCCGCTGGCTTGTCATGCAGATTTCCCTCACCCGCCCACCCAAGACAGGCTCGGGGGATCCCCCGCTGGGAGCCCCCTGCTTCCCACTGTGAGCTTCCTGGCCCCTCTGACCCAGCCCCACCTCCCTTCCCATGTCCCACCTCGTCGTTGCTAATGGGCACAGAGGGGTGGAGGAGGTTCCCAATCTCCCGGAGGCTCTCAAAGCGTTCAGCCTCCAGCCGCAGACGCTCAGAGTCGCACTCCAGGATGGCCTCATCAATGAGCAGCCGAACTTTCTTTATCTGGGATACCTGGAGACACTGCAGAGAGACCTCAGGATGAGGTGGGGGGGAGAGAAGACCACTGGGAAGAGGGGCCTGCTCATCCAGCACAGGGAAACTTGGGCCCAGCATGGTGAATTCTAGACCCACCACATATTCTGGAATGAGTCCCTGGGCTGGACACACTCAAGAACAGCTGAAAGGATAATGGGGTGACAAGCTGGGCTCTGGAAGGCCTGAGCTGCTCCCATGGCAGCCAGCATTGCATTCATTAACCAGGGTGACTAGCGAACTGGGATGGAAGCAGGCAGGGAGTGACACACTGAGGACACAGAAGGACTGAGGCCGCTCAAATTCGCAGGGATGAGCCCTTGACTGACACAGAGTGATGCTGGGGAGATCAAGGACACTGAGGAAGAGTCAGTTATTGCTGGTGTGGGACTGAGAGATAAAGAATTCTCCCAGCTGGGGCACCAGGCAGTCCCCCCTCATTTGGTGGACACTTCAGGCCACCAATTTGGGCAATTTCAGGCAAAGCTCTGGACAAACTGTAGGCACAGTAGAGGGAGCTGGGGTCTCACTCACCCCCAGGATATCAGCCGTGAGTTCATCCAGGTTCTGTGCACTCTCTGGTACAGATTCATCCGTCCCTACTGGCTCCTTTTTCTGCAGCAAGAGGAAAAAGGAACCCCAGGAGAGTTAAAGAGTAAAATTCCAGCAGGAAAACATCCCTCAGTGACACAAGGGAGAGACTGGAGGGCTGGGAGAAGGAGAGATGTCACCAGCTGGTGATGTCCCACCATATGGTGACCCAGGGCACTCATGCCCCACCTTCATCTTGTCCCCAATGGTTTTGCTGCACAGGTTCTTCAGCTTGTTCAGGTTGTCGGCACGAAACCTGCCTGGAAAGGAAGGCAGGGGCTGTCACCTGAGAGAAGGCTGAGTGAGAGAAAGGCTGGGGCCCCTATCTGGTATAGAGAGGTGATATGGAGCCCCCATGGGAGCAGCAGTGGGGATGGCAGTTCCAGGAATACCCACAGGCACCAGCCCTGGGGTTTTTGGGAGGACAGAGGTTGATCATGTGGAGCAGAGCCGCAAGGAGTAGGGATATCACTGGAAAACACCTGGAGTGACATTGCACTGGGACATCCATGCCAGGCTGGAAACCCCCATGACATGCTGGAACCACGCTGGGATGGGACAGCCCCAACTCTAAGACGAGAACCCTACACTGGGATTCCCCGTGCTGGGCTGGGACCCCCAGACTGGGATAGGACCTCCACACTGGGATCCCCATGAGGGGATGGGGTCCCCCACACTGGGGTGGAAGTCCCATGCCAGGCTGGGAACAATGTACTGGAATGGGATCCCCATTCCATGCTACGATCCCCCACACTGGGCTGTGACCCCCATGCTCGACTGGGAACCCCATCTGCCAAAACAGGAATCCCTCCACCAGGATGGGACTTCCCACATCAGCATAGGATCTCCATACTTCACTTGGACCCCCTCAATGCTAGGATAGGACCCTCATGCTGGGCTGGGACCCCCACACCAGGATGAGATCCCCCTGACGCTGCACTGGGACGCCCATGCCAGGATTGCACCCCTCCCTCCACAGGCTCGGAGCCCCCCATGCTGGGACCTCCCTGTTAGGATGGGACCCCCACACTATGCTGGGACCCCACATTGTGATGAGACACCTCCCTCAGCAGGATGGGATTGCTAAGGACTGAGCAGACCCTGGGATCTGAGGCCACAGTGATGAGATTCAGGGGGTGTTGGATGAGGGGAGCATGGATGCTCACCCTTCATGACCCCGGGGCTGGGAAGGGCAGAGCCCAGGACACGGGGAAGCTCAGACTAGGGACACCTCCGCTGAGAACGTGCCACCCTGATCAGCGGAAGGGATCAGTCCCCAGGAGATCCAAAGCCAGGGAACACCAACAGGACACAGCACGGCACAGCACGGGCTCCCCGCAGCGGCGCCGCGGGATTGCATCAGCCAGCGCGACCCGCCAGCCTGCCTCACCCTGCGGCCACCCGCCATTCCCCAGCACCGCCGTCCTGGGGACACAGAGCCCGCGGGAAGGGGGCTGGGAAGAGGGTGATCCCTTGGACATCTAGGTGAACGCATTTAAGGAGAGCCCTAAGCGCCGCTTTCATCCCGCAGCAATGGAACGCTGGGGTGCCCTGGGAACAGCGGGGTTTGGGGGCACCCACTCCTCCCGCCGCCCTCCAACTCCTCTCCACATCCGGCACCCGCTGACGGAGCTGGACGCTCATCCCCCTGCCCCATATCCCGCCGGGAGCCATGAGGAGGTGGTTCCTCCACGTGTGGGTGGAGATGGGACCCTCCGGGTGTGGTGTACCCCAAATCTGGGGGTGGCACTGTCTAGGATCCCCCCCGCCCAGCTGGATCCTGCGGCAATGCAGGGAGCGGATCCCTGGGGATCGCAATGGGACGGGATCCATGTTCGGGCTAAGGGGAACCTGAGAGGAGGGAAGGCGGGTCTAGTGGGAGAACTTCTCCCACCTCAATCCCTGGGATTAGGGACGAGGGGGATCCACCCAGGGACAAGCCCTCGGTCTCTGCTGTGATTTACCCAGAGGATCCAGTCCCAGAGGGCAATGATCCACCGAGGTGATCCCCGAGGGTTGGGGAAGAATCAACAAATCATCCTGCGGAGGATGGGAAAGACCCCCGACTAAAGGCCACCCCATCTCACCGAGGAGGTTCGGGGACCAGTGTGGGGGCCGCTTCCAGGTCCTAGGGAAGGGAGGGAGAGCGGGAGAGAGGGACTCCTAGGGGCGGTGGTGGGGGCGTCCTGTCACCTGCGGACCGGTCACCGGGCTGAGGGGGTGTGGGGGAAAGGCACCGGGAGGGGGGGACATGCCCGCGTGTGCTAAGGGGGTCCCCCAGCCCGGAGGTTCCCTCCCCTCACCCACCCACCCCCACGTACACCTCCGCCAGGCGCCGTCCGCTCGCACCAGCGCATCCACCAGCGCGGGGTCCTTGAAGCGCTTGCGCTGCATGTCCCGCACCATGGCGGGGTCTCCGCCCTTGTCGGCGCGGAACAGGTCCAGGTCCAGCACCATGACGGCTGATGGCGGCGGCGGCACCGGGAACACCGGCGGGGACAGCTGCTCCGCGCGCGTGCGCGGAAGGGGCGTGGCCGCGGCGATGGGGGCGCGGCGCAGCAGCGCCCCTTGGTGGCCCGGAGGCGGCGCAGCAGGACGGGGCCCGGAGGGTCTGAGGGCCGAGCGGCCCGAGCACCCCTGACCCCCACCAAGGGAGGTGCCAGCGGGTCTGGAGGCCCAGGCAGGGCAGGAGGACGGGGGTGTCGGGAAGTTATGAGAGGGTTTGGGGATGATACGGTGGGGTCTGGAGGGGCCCGAGCGTCCTTGAGCCCCCCTGCCAGAGAGGTCTCCGTGGTTCTGCCCTCGCACCCCGAGGATTGCTGGGGTTCCTCAGCCACATCCCAGGGATACTGCTGGGCTCTGTGGATCTCCTACCCGAGGACACCTCGCACCCCAGTTGTTCATAGGGCTCCCAAGAGCCGCCCCACGCCCCTCTACAGCACCCCATGGCACAACTGTGGCTGTCTCTGGCACCACATGTCACCCCACTGTCCCCTCCTTGGGGGTCCCGGCGGGGTTCTTGTGCCTCCACCCATCTGGGGGACCCTCTACCACTTCCCCCATTAGGGGGCGTGCAGATGGGAGTCAAAGTTCCGCTGCTCCCCCACCCCACTCCTAAGCACCGCTCACACGTGTGGCACCCTGCGCACACCCCCGCACCCTCCTCCCACCCATTTCTGGTGCCCACGCTCAACTCCCCGCACCCCCTATGCGTGTCCCACACACACGGAGCCCTTATACAAACCCCACTCCTGTATTTGGCATTTTTGGGTGCTTGGGATGGGGAGGACACGGTGAGGACACACGTACAAAAGCCGTAATGAGGCTCCGGTCCGAAGCGGGTCCCTAAGGCCACGATTGGGGCCACGTTGGGGGGCGTGGGGGGATGGGCCGTGGGTACCCCCCCTTCCCTTCACAGCTGCCCGGGGCTGGGGTGTCCGTGGGTGCCCCTCTGGCCCGTCACAGCTCCCGGGAGGGCTGGGGGATGCGAGGGTGCCCCCCGTCCTCTTACAGCTCCCGATCGGTGCTGCTGGATGAGGTCTTGAGCGGGACTGAGTCGAATCCATCCGGCATCCGCTGTGGGGTGAGGAAACTGAGGCCCGGAGCTCCCGGGGTGGGGAACTGAGGCACAGAGCCCCCTTGGAGTGGGGAAACTGAGACACGGAGCCTCTCCGGGGTGGGGAATTGAGGCACGGACCATCCTCAAATCCCACCCTCACCATCGCTTGTCCGGTGGCTACTCCAGGGTTGTTTCCATCCCCCCACCCCACCCCTCACCTTGGCCGTCAGGGCTTTAAGTTTTCCAAAAAGTGACATTTCGGTGGCAAAGAGCAGCTCGTCCTCCGCGTCCTCCCCCTCCATGATGGCGCAGCTGTCGGGCGACGTCGCGTCGGTCTCCCGGGCCGCCGCGTCCATCACCAGCTTGGAATATTTGTATTCCAACCTGGGAATGCAGGCGGTGCCATCACCCGCCCCGTGACAGTGCTAGCCCCCGTGTCCCCAAATCCCGCCAAATGCTCACTTTTGAGTCTTTTTCCAGAAATAAGCGGCGAGCGCAGCCAGCAAGATGGCCACGCACGTCCCAGTGGAAATTCCCACTTTTAGCCAAAAATCCACGCTCCGGCACGCCTGGATCACCTGCGGCGGCAGGGCGTCCCCGCCGTGGCACAGCCGGGGCTCCCGCCACACGTAGGTGGTTTTCTGATGGGGGGAAAGGGGGTTCAGGGGCCGTAGGAGCCGCAGCCCAGCCCGGGGCACGGGGCGGTACCTGAACGCCACCGATACAGGCGCCGACGATGGGGCGGTGGTGGGAGCTGGAGCAGCGGGGACATCCCTCGGCCGTCACCCACAGGAAATGGAAGGTGCAGCCGTCGCAGGTGCCCTCGGGGCATTTGCTTCGGAGGGACAAAAAGGCGGTGCTCAGGTGATGGTGACGCTCCAAAGTGGGGATTACAGCTAAGGTGACACCCCAGGGTCGGGACAGCATGACAGTGGTATCCCCAAAGTGAAGCACCCCAAAGAAGTATCTAACCATGACAGCAGGGTATCTTTGAGGTCCCCAAACCTCCCTCGGGGTCTCCTTTGTTTCACTGCCAACCTGAGTACATGTGGGACACGGTGACACAGCCAGGGTGACACCTCAGGGTGAGGGACTCTGACACCACGTCAATGTGGTCCCCAAAGCAAAGTACCTCAGGGACATGCCCACCCATGACAGCAGGAGATGTTTGGGTCACTCTGGGAGTCCCTTAAGCCCCTCCTTGGTGTCCCCAGTGTCCCACCCCCTCCACCTGGGAACAGCCAGGGTGACGCCTCAGAATGAGGGACACTGACACTGTGACTATGGTGTCTCCAAAGCTAAACACCCCAGGGATGCACCCAACTCTGACAGCGGGAGATGCTTGGGTCACCCAAAACCCTCCTCGGGGTCCCCTGTGTCCCCTCCCCACCTGGGGACAGCCAGGGTGCCAGTGCCGATGCGCAGGGGGTCACAGCGTAGGCGGATGGTGGTGGCCCGGCCACCACTGCAGGGCTGTGTCATGTCGTTGGACCTGCCAGGGGACATGGGGGGGTCAGAAGGACAGGGGGGGACAGTGTGGGTGTCAACCCCCTGTCACCTGCCTGCACCTGAAGAAGAAGATGATGTCAGGCAGGTCAGGATGGCTGGGGGGGAAGAGCTCTGGGGGAGACACGATGCTGTCCAGCACGGAGCTGGTGGTGACACCTGCAGGGAGAGAGGGGTGTCTCCAGTCCCACTGGAGGGTGTTCCAGTCCCAGTGTCTTAGTGCCACCAGAGTGTCCCAGTCCTACTAGGGTGTCCCAGTGCTGCCAGGATACCCCAGTCCCAACAGGACATCCTAGTGTCAGTGTCCCAGTCCCACTGAGGAGTCCCAGTCCCAGCAGGGTGTCTCAAATCACACCATGGTGTCCCAGTCCCACTGGGGTGTCAGTGACATATACCAGTGACAATGTCCCACTCCCAAACAAGATGCCCCCGTAGTGTGCCAGTCCCACCAGGGTGTATTTCAATCCCATTGGGGTGTCCCTGTACCACCAAGGTATCCCAGTGCTGCTGAAATGTCCTAGTGCCAGTGTCCCAGTCCCAGCAGAGTGTCCCAATCCCACCAGGGTATCCCACTCCCAATGCCACTGGGGTGTCCCAGTCCCACCAGGGTGTCTGAGTCCCACTGGGGCATCCCAGTGCCACTGGAGTAGGCTATTCCCTGTCCCACCCATGTGTCCCAGTGCTACTGGGATGTCCTGGTCCCTGCCAGGGTGTCCTAGTTTCAACAAGGTGTCCCACTCTCAGTGCCACGAGGGTGTCCCAGTCCCCCTAAGGAGTCTCAGAGTTGGTGTGCCAGTGCCACCAAGATGTTCTAGTGTCTGTCCCACCCATGTGTCTCAATGACCTCCCAGTTCCCCAGGGTGCCCCCCCTCCCTCCCTGCTCACCCAGCAAGTGGTCACCCAGGCTGACAGGCTGCGAAGACACAGCTGCACGGGCACCAGTGATGTCAGGGGGCACCAGAATGGCCTGGCACACATAAGAGGTGACCACACGGGCAGGGCCCCCCCGACCTGCCGTCACATTGTCAGCACATGAGGCCATCTTCCTGCCCTGTGGGGACATACATGATACACGTGTGTGGAGTGAGACTATGTGTACAAGGGACTGGCATTTGCGTGTGCAGGGCCATAGGTATGCAGGTGTGGCTGCACAAGTGTCCATATGTGTTTACACGAGTGTTCACGTGTCTGCACAGCTGTGCAGATGTGTTTGTGTGACTGTGCACACATGACTGCACCAGTGGGTGCGTGTGTGTGTGCAGGTGTGACAGCATGTACACCTGTATTTGCACACCTGCGTGTGGGAATGTTTGTTTGCATACGTGTCCTTGTGTTTGCATGACTACAAGCACATATGCACGTCTGTCTGTGTCTGCCCACCTGCATGCCCCTCCAATCTGTGTGCCCAGGTGTGTGCCTGTGTTCGCCCATCTGGATGCTCATGTGTGCATGTGTATTCCTGAGCCCTTGTGCCCGTGTGTGCCCCAAGTGTGCCCACCTGTGTTCCTGTGTCCACCCTCCTGAGTATCCCCCCACTGTGCCCATGTTTGCACTCGTGCTTGTGTCCACCCACTTGCATGCCCACCTGTGTTTGTACTCATGTGCCTGTGAGTGCACACACACCCCAACATGTGCTTGTGTTTGCACTTGTGTATCTATGACCACCCACCCATGAGCCCAGGTGTGTTCCCATACATTCATGCATGTTCCTGTGCCCTCCTGTGAGTGTCCTTGTGTGCTTTTCCATGTGTGTTCCCATGTCTGCATGCATGTTTACATGGCCTCCTGCCCACATGTGCCTACTCTCCTGAGTGCCCACTCACGTGCCCGTGTTTGCACTTGTGTGCCTGCGCCCATCCCCCGGCTGTGTTGCCATGTGTGCACATGTGTTTGCCCACACGAGTCTCACCTGGTGCCCACAGAGGCTAAGGCGGAAGTGATGGCTGTAGCGCAGCCCTTTGGGGGTGAAGCTGGGCCCAGTGCCCACCCCAGCACCTTGGCCCAGCGATGGGAACTCGAAGTGCAGCATCCGGCCTGGCAGTGCCAGTGCCAGGCTGCAGTTGTTGTAGCATAGCGATCGCAGCTGGGAACAGGGACAGGGAGCTCAGGGATGGCCATGCCACCAACTGGGGACACCCCTGTGGGGACTCTGGAGAGCTGGCACCACCCCTCAGAGACCGCAAGGCCATGGTGGCACCCACCAGGGTCACGCACTGCCACCCACCAGTGTCAGATACTGTCACCCATCTGGGATGGCTGGGAGGGGCTGGTGTCATCTCTCTGGGGACAGCTGGGGGACTGGCATTACCCACCCAGGATTAGACATTGTCACCCACCTTGTAACCCACCCAGGACTGCCACAGGGCTCGTGTCACCTCCCTGGAGATGGCCAAGGAGGGCAGGCATCACCCACCTGGGGTCAGACACTGTCACCCATCCTGTCACCCACTCAGAATGGCTGTAAGGGGCTGGTGTCACCTCCGTGGGGACATAGTGTCACACACCCAGGATGACTGGGGGAGGCTTGTGTCACCCACCCGTGACAGTGTCACCCTCCTGGTGCTTGCCAGTGCCACCATCTGGGACATCCTGGGTGTGGGGGAGGCTGGCGTCACTCCTCTGGGGCCCATTGGCATCACCCATGGGGACACTTAGGAACACTTGGACCCCCCGCCATCCCCAGTCACCTGGTTGCTGCGTGTGCCAGGGCCACAGGGGCGGCAGGTGGGTGTTCCGTCGGAGGGGTGGCCCCGCAGGTAGGTGCCAGGTGGGCAGGGCTGGCAGGTGCCTGAGTTGGGGTCCACAGCACTGCCAGGGGAACATGGGGCACAGGACCCAGTGGGCTGGGGGGCACAGCGGCGGCAGAAGGAGGCCACCCCCCCCTGCACATTGGTGACGTTGATGCTGTACAGCTTGGCCACATCACTGGTGAACCGCCGGCCCTGGCACCGAGAGCATCATCACCATCTGCCCCCCGCCCCCCACCAGACCCCCCAAAGTTGGGCCCTCCAGCCCTCTCAAAGCAGAGCCCCCTGTCCCTCACCGCCTCGTGGTAGGGGGTGCGCTGGAAGGCCCAGGTGAAGCTCATGGTCGCGTTCTTCTCCACCAGGTAGGTGTAGGATTGTTTCCCTGTGGAACCTGTCCATGTCTCCACTGGAGTGTTGGTGCGTGAGTTGACACCCTGTGGGGACAAGGGAGGTGGCACCACCCAAATTCACTGTGCCCCCCCAAACTGCTGTGTCTCCCCACTCACCACCATAAAGTAGAGCTCACAGCCAACACTGCACACCGTCTCAAAAACAAAGGTGATCCTGGCCACCTCCCTGCTCTCTGTGTCCTCCAGCACTGGGCTTGGAGGGCTGGGGACAGCATGGGGACACTGCTAGCTCTGCTCCATGGCCGTGTCCCCCCTGCTCCCTGGTGGTGGCCCCCACCTCACCTGAAGCCAGGGACCACCAGTGTGAGGATCATGAAGTCGCTGTCAGAGGCTCCAGCTGCCGTGTAAATGTAGTCCCCAGCTACCTCCCAGCCTGCAGGGATGCAATGACACTCAGACAGGTCCCTGGCAGTGCCCCAGCAAGGGACAGGGAAGGGACAGCCCTCTTGCCACTACCTGCAATGCCCTTGTACTCGAAGTTGATGCCGCTGAGCACGGTGGTCTCCATGTTGGGGGGCAGCACGTTCCACCACTTGTACTCCAAGCCCAGAGCCGGCTCAGTGCCCTCTGGGCATCTGAGGCAGGCTGGGGAGAGGAGGCAACAGCCCTGCACAGGGGTGGCACCCACCTCCCCCTCTGTCAGCTTGGAGTGCCCTGCTTACCCCTTGAGGCCGGTGATGGGGACAAGATGGGACAGCCCTGCACTAGGGTGGTACCACATTCCCCTCCCTGCAGCATTGGTAACCACCTCTTGGGGACAATGATGGAGACAGGAGAGGACAGCTCTGTACTGAGTTGGTACCCACCTTCCCTTGGCAGCTCCAGGGATCCCAGTTACTTTCTAGAGACAATAACTGGGATGTTCTTACTGGATACATAGGGACAGCCCTGCACCAGGGTGGTACCACCTTTCTCTCTATCAGCTTTGGGTGCTTTGGTCACCACTTAGGAACAATGATGGGAACAGGATGGGACAACCCTGCACTGAGGTGGCACTCATCTCCCCCTGGTAGCCCCAGAGACCCCAGTTACTCCTTGGGGACAGTGGTGGAGGTGTCCTTATTGGAGCCATGGGAACAGGAGGGGACAACCCAGCACTGGAGTGGCACCCACCTTCCCCTGGCAGCTCAGGCTGCCCAGTCACACTTTGGGGACAATGACAGGGCCGCCTTACCGGAGCCATTGGAATAGAAGCCATAGGGACAGGGCTGGCAGGTGCTGCCATTGCCTTTGGCGAAGCCAGGGTTGCAGGGGGGGCATCGAGTCTTGACCCCTGAGGATGGCAGCCGGGCCGCCTGCGGCAGCTCCTCACTGCAGATCTTGGGCTCTGCCCACTTGTACATCAGCTGGGTCTGTCGGGGGAGCAGGTGAGCCGGGGGGAACACCGGGGGACAGGGGGACCACCGTGGGGTGCCCCCACATTACCTCTCCACCAGCGTCGCAGGCCGTGTGGGTGTAGAAGAAATCCTTGTCCGTGCAGGGTGGACGTGGCTTGCAGGACCCCGAGCCGGGCTCTGCCAAGGGGAGACACGGTGGGTGAGCCAGCACAGCTTGGAGACCCCAGTGCTGTTCCCACCACACAGGGTGTCCTTGTCTTCCCTCCCAACCAAGGGGTAGTGGGTGCTCCCTACTCCCCACATCGTCTCTCCCTCCCCCAGGGCCACTCCTGCAGCACAGATTGCAGGGACAAAGGAACCCCTAAGGGTGTCGCCCCTCACTAGCATAGGTGTCAGGTTTGTGAGGGGCACCAACACTGTCGCCACCAGGGGATGTCAGGTCACCCCTGCTCCCTACATCACCCCTTCCCTTCCCAGGGTCATATACTAGAGGGACAGTATATGGGAGGGGAGAGCCCCGGGTGTCCCCTCTCACCGGAGTAGGTGTCAGGGTCGCAGGGCTGGCAGGCGGTGGCCCCTTTGCCAGAGAAGGTGTCGGCGGGACAGGGCTGGCAGGCGGTTGAGCCGGCAGCGGGGGCAAAGGTGCCGGGCTTGCAGGGGAAGCACTCGGAAGTGAAGGCCACCCCTGGGAGAGGGAGGAGGCTCAGGTAGCGGGGAGGCGGGTGCGCGACCCCGAGACCCTCCCTCCTGCCCTTACCCACCTGTAATGCCGATGTTCCTCACCAGCACCGGTTTAGGCACCTTGGACCAGACGGAGAAGGCGGTGGTCCGCCAGTACAGCACGTTGTTCCCACGGCTCAGCTCCACCTGGGAGAAGGATCCCACGGGACTGGGTAACCCCACTGCAGGGATGGGTTTGGCACCATGGGTGGGGGATCCCGCTGCCGTGGAGGGGGTTGGCACCAGTGGAGGGAGGTGTGTGGCACCCCCATCTGTCATCACCCACCGCCCCCTCCTCAGCCTTATGGAGCATCTTCTTCCCACAGGAGGCACAAGGATAGCTGGGGCAGCATCGAGGGACCTCCCCACGGTGTCACCTCCCACCGAACACTCACGCTGTGGAATTCCCAGCCCTTCTCTGTAGTCCGCATCCAGCGGGACTCCTCCACCGTGGGCTGGCACTGGTCGTTCTGCACCTGCAGGGAGAGTGTCAGGGACCCCGTGTTCACAGGGACTCCGCATGTCCCCAGGGACACACCCCCATGCTCCCAGGGACCCTCCATATTCCTAGGTACCCCTCCTCATGCCTCCATGAACCACTGCCATATGCCATGGGGCTCCCCTCACGTCACCAGGGTCCACTCTCATGTCCCTGGGAACCCCTCCATGTCTGCAAGGACCCCCATGATGTCCCCAGGGACCCTTCCCATATATCCAGGGTCCCCTTCCCCATGTCCTCAGAGACCCCTGTCACATCCACCAGAGATCCTGCCATGTCCCCAGGGACGCACATCATGTTCTCAGGGACTACTTCCATGTCCCTAGGGACAAATATCATGTCCCCAGGGACCCCTGAGGAGTCCCCACAGACCCACTCAGGTCACAAGGGACTTCTCCCATGTACCTAGGGACACTTCATGCCATCTAGGACCCTCTCTTATATCCCAATGGACCCCTCCATGTCCCCAGAGACCCACACCCTCCACCCGTGCCCCCGTCACCCACAAAGAATTCAAAGACGATGCTGCTGTCAGGGTAGATGTACTCGAAGGTGACAGTCCCCGACTGCTTGAGGCTCACAGCATACATGAGGGTGGCCGTGCACTCATCTGTGTTGGAGGCCACGTAATCCCCCAGCGGCACCCACGTTGACCTGGGGCAAGTGATATATCCTGTCACCACTCTCAGCAGGCAGGACAGGGCTTGTAGGGACAGCCAGGAGGGTCCCCAAGAAGCAGGGGGGAAATGAGGGGCACAGGGGCTTGGGCACGTCTTAGGGACATGGCAAGGTGTGGTGGCTAGACACATATCCCTGGGGAGAATCCCCTGACCTGCTGACAGCCATGTGGACTGCAAGGAGAACAGAGTGGGGTCCCCCTGTTCTGGGAATGTGACTGGATGAGGAACACGCTACTGGGAGTAGGGAGTGGCTGACAGAGGCATCAATGGAGCAGTGTGGTGGTGCCAGTAAAACTGAGGGTTTGGTGGTTGTTGGTACAACTGGGAGGGTTTCTTGGTGGTATAATCAGGAGGGTTCAGAACCTGACAATACATATGGGATAGCTTGGTGGTTGTTGGTGTAACCGGGGTGTTTTGTGGCAGCTGGTACAACTGGGAGGGCTCAGTGGTGTGGTAGCTGTCTGTATTTGCTGTGTATCAGTGGCTGCTGGTACAACCAGCTGGTGGGAAGTTCCGTGGCAGCGGAACAACTGGGAGAGCTTGGCAGCTGCTGGTAGAAATGAGAGGCCTTGATGGCTGTGGTACAAGTAAGAGGGTCTGGTGGCTGCCAGCACAACCAAAAGAGCTCAGAGGTTGCCAGTGAGGATCAAAGGGCTATGGTGGTAAATAAAGGCTCTCGCTGGTGGCACAGGGGTGTGGAGATCCCCCATGAGTGCTGTAGAGACCCCCCATAGGAGCTGTGAGGACCTCCATGGGTGCTCCATCTCCGAGGAATATTGATGTGGGCGTCCCATGGGGTTGGGGTTCTGCCACTTCTGGCAGGGGGTGATGCTGCTGGGTGTTCCCTTGCTGTGATCAGGGTGCCCCTGTAATGCCCTGCTGGTGTCACCTCCCAGGGCAGGATGACAGAAGGGCATCGGGGCAACTGGGCACTATGGATGCACAGGGGTGTCACACCCATCCTGCTCGCTGTGCCCCGCACCCTGTCTTGACATGCCAGGTGCTCATGTGCTGGCGTCACAGCCAGTGACACAGTGACTCACGTTGTGCAGTTCTCTGCCGCATCGCCAAAGCTGTCATCCACCTCCAGGTTGGTGGCCACGTTGGCGAAGCCATGGGGCACCTCATCCCACTCATCAAAGCGGACACCAGTGCCCAGCGAGTAGGTGCCCGCAGCGCAGGGCCGGCACGTCTGTGTCTGCATCTCCAGGAACTCACCCGCCTTGCAGGAGAATGCTGCCAATGGAGACGGGGCACAGGGCATGGAGGGTCACCCCCAATCCTCCTGGCGCTGCTACAGCCTCATCACCCTCAGCTCTGCATTTCCAAGTGCTCCAGCTGGTGGAGGCACTGGGATCCCCCATTCTTACCATTCCACAAGGGCAACCCCCACAGCCATGAGTTTTGGTACCCAACACCCAGCTCTGCCCAATCCAGGCAGAATGTAACCCTCTGCCATGGAGCCGGGACACCCCCAGGCTTTGGGGGCATGTGTTTGGGATTCCCATCCTGCTCATCCCATCCTAGTAAGTGAGTTTGTGTGAGGGGGATTCTCATCTTGCTCATCCTATCCTGGTGCATGTGTGCGATGGGGAGATTTCCATCCAAGTATGTGTGGTGGGATTGCCATGGCTCTCATTCCATTTGGTGACTGTGTGTGTGATTCCCATCCCATCCTCATGTATGTGTGTGTGATTTCCATCCCTCTTATCCCATCCTACTGTCCATGTGTGGGATTCCCATCCCATCCTATCCCATTATGTGTGTGGGATTTCCATCTCTCTCATCCCATTCAGGTGAGTGAGCGCACATCTTGCTCATCCTGTCCTGGTGCATGTGTGGGATGAGGGGATTTCCATCCCAGTGTGTGTGATTCCCATCCCTCTCATCCCATTCCATGACTGTATGTGTGATTACCATCCCATCCTATCTGTGTGTGCATGTGATTCCCATCTGTCTTATCCCACCCCAATGCCTGTCTGTTTCTGGTTCCCATCCCTCTCATCCCATCCCAGGGAGTTGGTGTGTGTTTGATTCCTATTCCATCCCATCCCAGTGCTTGTAGTTCTTCTACCATCCCATCCCGGGGGATTCCCATCCCACTGATCCCATTCCATCCTCCTGTTGCCTGTACTGGAGCCGATAATGGCTATGCTTGTCTCCCCACTCTCTCCCTCCTGTCGCCCTCATTTCCCATCCCTGCCATTCCCACCCCCAGCCTGACCCCATCCCATTCCTGGTCGGAACCTTACAGCATTCAGTGCCCCTAACAGGGTCAGGCAGGCCGGTGCAGAGTCCAGGCGTGTGTGGTACAGCCACCCTCCAGCGTGATCCTGAGCTGTCACATGCTGTGTACTCGTAGTGGTACTCGGACTGCAGCAGACAGAGAGGGAGCATGCAGGGGAGCTGCACCTGAGACCTCCCGGGCTGCTCCCACACCCTGTGCTCCCTGAGAGGGGCTGGCCCCTTGGCCCGGCAGTGCCTTCAAGGGATAGTTTTGAGTTACGGTGTGGCAATGTCCTGTGGTGCCCAGGGCCTGGTGAGGGGGGCTTGGGAGGGTGCTCAGAGTGGGGGCATACTTGGGTGGGGGAGAGTTCAGTGTGGGGGGATACTGGACAATGGGGGTGATTTGGGTGGGAGATGCTCTGGATTGAGGGGAGCTGGGGTCCAGGGGGATGCTGAGAGTGGGGGAGTATTGTGGTGGTGGTGGTGGGGCAGTATGAGAGGATGCTGGGAAATGGGAGTGCTGTGGGTGGGGGGATGATCCGGCTGGGGTTGCCCAGGAACCTTGGAGCAGCAACAGCCCTGCACTTCTCCCTGGTGTGGAGGTGAAACCCTGCGCCCCCCCCCCCATGTTCCTGGGATCACATGGCACTGTCACGCCCCTTGGTGTGCCTTGGCGCGGCTGTGACACACTTTGCTCACCGAACAGCTGTGGCACAACCCGGATACGGCCTGGGAGCACCTCGGGCATAGGGCGGGAGGGCAAGGGGGACTAGGGGGAACCAGGAAGCGCTGGGGACGGCAGAGGCACCATGACCACCCCCCCTCCCCCCCACCATCCTGCCAGCTGCACCAAGCTGAGACTGGCTTAAGGCTGGTGAGGTGATGCCAGGGACAGACAGCGTGGGCAGGGTGAAGGCCACATCTGGTGCTGCTGTTGGGGTTTGGGGTACAAGGGGAGGGAGCTCCCCACCCCCCCTGCAGCAGCTCTGAGGTGTCAGAGCCGGTGCTGTGGCTTCATGCTCCCAGTGGCTGCTGGAGCGTGGCAGGTTGATGAGAAAACAACTGCTTTGATGTTCCCATCAGCTGGAAACAGCAATGGGGGGGGGGGAGGGAAAGAGGGGGATGGGGGGATATGAAGGGGAAAGAGGGACTGGAGAGGTAAAAGGGGGGTGGAGAAGGAAAAGTGAGGACAGAGAAATGCCTGCAGCACCCCCTGCCCATGTACAGCATGGAGCCCCTCTGGTCCTGGGATGGGGACAAGAGAAAGGTCCCCACCAGCTTGGGGGTACCCAGAGGGTCACCTCAACTTTCAGCAGCCTTGAACTACAACATTACTCTCAGTCCTGAGGGATTTCCTTGGGGAGAAGGTATTTTTTCTCTCTTCCTAAACTTTTCCAGGTTTTTATTAAATCTACATAAATTGACCTAATTCAGCTCGAGTGGCTCTGGGGGTGGAGGGCACCCCAAACTGCCACTGTAACTCTGCTCTGGCCAGGGAAGGGAGAAGGGCTGTGCCTTGCAAAGGACAGGGGACACCCCCTCTGGGGGACTGATTGTTCCTGGGGCAGGTGCCAGCCCCAGTCTATTGTTTCCAGCTCTGGATTGTGGAACACAGACAAAAATAATTGGATCAGAGGAAAAAAAAAAAAATCCTGGCCCAGATTAAAAGCAGCCAAGTCTGAAGAGGGGGGAGGAAAATTGGGGGTGGGGGGGGGGCAAGACGGACAACCCAGGGAGGGCATTTGGGGGCTCACCCGCTGTCCCCAAGTCCCCAAGGCAGACAGATCCTGGTGAGTGACAGTTTTTCTTCACAGAACACCATGTGCTGGGCTGGGAATGACACGTGGCCATTGGGATTGTCCCTCTCCGCTCCTTGTCACCCCCCCAGCAGCACTCAGGGAGACCCCAGTGTGTCGAGGGGTAGGGACTTATGGACAATAATGGGGTGACAGCAGTTGGGGTCCCCAAGGAGACCCTCGGGCACTGGCCGAGCCACTGGGAGCAAAGACCTCTCCCTGGGCCCCCAGGAAGCCGGCCAGTCCCTCCCCGCTATAAGACACCCCACCGGGACACCCGACTCCTACCTGTTCCCTCCTTGTCCCCTCCATCTCACAGGGAGCGGCCTCCCGTGCTCCGGGACTCCGTTTCATCGGTGTGTGGGGGGAATTTGGGGGTGGTTGCGGTTGTGGCGGTGTGATACCGGTTGCCCACCCACCGCCCCCCCCCCGCCATTCCCGGTGCCGGTACCTCCTTGCAGACATGTAGCTGCTCTCCGGTGCGTCCCGGTGACACGGTGACAGCCAGACACAGCGCCAGCGGCATCCACCGGGCTCCGGTACCGGCCATGGCGGCGGCAACGGCGGTGGCAACGGCGGCAGCTCGGCCGGTGCGAGCACCGGCGCTGCTGCCCCGCCCCCGCCAACGGCCCGGCCTCCGCGCACCTGCCGCTACCTGCCCCCGCCCCCGGGAACGGCACCGGGCATCGCCTCCGAGAACGGGCACCGGGAACGGTGGGAATGGCACGGGGTATCGCCCCAGGGAACGAGAACGGGCAGTCGATCACGAAGAGAATCCCCTGGAACGGCAGCTGGCGCCGCCTCCACGAGAACGGCACCGGGAATCGGTATCGAGAATGTTATTCATGGGAATGGCACCGCGCATCGGTATCGGAAATAGAGACACGGGAATGGAACTGCCAGGAACAGCAGGCCCAAGGTTATACCCGGGAATGGTATCCTGAGATTGGCGCCGGGCACCGGCACTGGGAGCGTTATCCATGAGAACGCCACCGGGAGTCCCATCATTCTTGGGAGTGTATCCCCGGAAACGGGACTGGGAATGCAATCCCCGGAACGTGTTCCCGGGAACGGTATCGGGAACTTATCCCTGGGAATGCATTTGGGAATGTTATTCCAGGAACAGCACCGGGACCGTCTCGGGGCATCGCCCCCGCATCCCCGCCCCCGGGCACAGCCCCTCCTCCCACCGCCCCGGTGCTGGGGGAGGACCGGGACACGACGGGGGGGGGGGGGGGGGGGGGGGCCCCCCCCCCCCCCCCCCCCCGGGGGGGGGGGGGGGGCGGGCACGCGGGGGGGGGGGGGGGGGGTCATGAGCCCCCCGCACCCCAGAGCCGCCTCCACCACATCAGAGACTGTGTGCCACTCGTGTGCCCCGCAGGCCATGTCCTCATGGAGCCGGGCCAGCCCCACTGCACTGGGGACAGGACAGGGGACACATGCGGCTGCATATTCTGGACACGACAGACATAGGGGTACAGGGGATACAGGAAAATGGGGTACACAGGAACATCAAGGACACTGGGTACAGAGCTGATACAGGGACACAGGACAAGGGGAATACAGGGGATATGGGAGAGTGGGGGACACAGAGGGACAGAGGATCCAGGGGATATCTGAACATGAGGGACATAGGAGACACATAGGAACACAGCTGCTAAGGTGATACAGATGTCCCAACTCTGGTGGCACAGGGTACCCTGTGTGTTGGGGGACACTAGTGACACATGTCCATCTGTGGTGGCACAGGGATGCCAGCAAGTACCACGGGCATGGGGGACATGGCCACTGGAAGGGATCATGCCTGTCCCTATGGCAGCATGAGGACAACCCCATGCCTACTTGTGCCACAGCTAGAGACAGTGGCATGGGGTGGCCATGCTCCACAGCATCCACAGTGTCACCTTGGCAGATGAAGCCTGCCAGGCACCATTAAACTGGTGACCTCCTCTCAGTGTCCCCACAGCAGGGCCACCACCAGCAGCCACCCCAGTTGCTTCTCTCAGTAATGCCAGAATCACTGCTGTCCCCTCATCACCACCATGGCCTTGTCACCACCACAGCCATCCCCTTTTCACCTTTGTGGCTGTCCTCTCATGCCCATCCTCTAGTCACCACTGTAGGTACCCCTCGGTCGTCCACCCTTACTGTCCCTTGTCACAACCACGGCCATCCTCTTGCTATCACCACAGCTGTCCTCCTGTTATCACTGTAGCCATCCTCTCCTTACCAGCACAACTGTACTTTTCCACAGTGGCTGGCCCCTGCTTACCATCACAGCTTTGTCAGCACCATGGCCATCCCCCAGTGCTCACCATGGTTGCCCCCTTGTGGCCATCCTCTTGTCACCACCACGGCTATCACCATCACCGCGAATCCCCAATAAAACACAGAGGCCGTGTTGCATGAAGCTCGTAGGTCTAATGAGAGTCCCCGGTGCCCCGCGGGGCTAGCAGAGTCCGCGCCCATCTCACACACGTGGCACGGTGCCAACACAGCTGCAGGGCCCGGTGAACCACTCCCAGCATGGCACGGAGCGTGCACGGCCCCGCAAGGCCAGCGCAGACCCCTGCAAAGCGCGTACGGAGCCTGCTGCAGGGCCCACTTCCCGCCTCCACACGTGGCCCGGCGCTAGATGGCCGGAATGAAGCTGGGCCGTTTCGTCTTCCGTCACTGTCGGCCCCCGGGCTGCAGACGTGGGCGCGGGTCAGAATCGCAGGGCGCTCAGCGGCCGTGGCCTCGCCTATCTGATCGACTCATCCCCCCCGGCCCAGCCGCACAGCGCCCGAGGGCTTCGCGGTGCTTTCTTCTCACCTCGGCCCGGCGGGGCCCGGCCGATCGAATAAGATCAACGTGTAGGGAGGAGAGGGTGGCTGACGCCTCACACACACACACACACACACGGACACCCCTGGCTCACGCGCACACACACACACGAGCGCACACACACACACGAGCGCACACACGCACGCGCACGCTCACACAGCCACGGCAAGTTCCGTTCCGGCCCTTTATACAGCGTAGCCGCGCGGAGCACGACGGGAAGGCCGCGCGGCGCTCTGGCGCGCCCCCCGCCGGCCGGAGGACCATCGTGCACCGCGTCTCGCGGGGGCACAGCGGCGAGCGCGCAGGCGCGGCCGGGCACACTCAGCGCGGGGGTGCGCGGCCCTCCGTGCCCCTCGCTGAGGGGCTGCATCGCTCCCGGCCCCAGAGAGCCGGGCGAACCAGGCCGGGAGGCTCCAGTCAGCAATTCCCCACCCCACAGCCCCCCTCCTGCCTTTACAAATCCTCGCCACCCCAGGACCCCATAACTATGGGAGCCCTCCACCCCATGGGAGGCAGCCGCCAAGGACCTCCTCACACACACCCAATGGACCCTCAGCCCACACCACAGGACCCCCAAGGAGGGCACCAGCCCCACAGGAGCCCCCCCAGCCCCACAGGACCCCCAAGCCAGCACTGTCACAGAGGAACCCCCACTTTATTTGCAGGTGGTGGTCCAGTATTTATAACCCGGGGGGGTCACCAAGCCCCCACTGCAGAAGGAGACCCCCCTGAGGGCCCCCCATGCTGCAGGGGCACAGGAAGATCCCACGGATCAGGGGGGACCCTGTCTGGCCCCCAGAGCCTGCCATGATCTCACTAGCACACTGCTCAGCATCAAAAGAAGGGGCTTACAGAGCAGAGCTGGTCCCCCAGTCTTGGGGGTCCCTTCACCCACTTCTCTACAGAATTCACAGGAAATCCTTTTCCAACAGTCTAAAGGTGCCCCGTTACCCGTTACAGTTGCCCTTGGTGGGCTCAAGGAGGGTGATGGGCCATGGTGGTCCCTGGCTTGCCACACGCAGGATCTGGGTTGCTGCCAAGAGCAGGGGTGGTTCAGGGTCAGTACCAGGGTCTCCAGGATCAATACCAGGGTCTCCAGGGTCAGCAATGGGGTCTCTGGTTGGTACTGGGACACTGGGGTCAGCACCAGGGTCTCTGGTCCATACTGGGGTCTTTGGAATCAGTCACAGGATCTCTAGTCAGTCCCAGGTCTCTCTCAAGTTACCAGCAGGTCCCCATGTGGTCACTTTCCCACAAGGACGTAGAAGGCCATGAGAAGACAGGACATGGACACAGCCACGTGCAGGCGGGTCCCAATCACAGCAGCTGCGGGTGGGACAGGACAGGGTGAGGCCCCATGTCCCCATCCCAGATCCATCCTGAATCCCTGTGAGCCCATCCCAGACGCCATGTTCCCATCCCAAACTCCACTGTTCCCATTCCCAATCTCTGTATTCCTATCCCAGACCCCAAAACCTCCATCCCACATCTCCGTGTCCCCATCCTGGACTCAATGCTTCTGTCCTAGACCCAACCCCAGTGTTCCCAGCATCCCCATCCGGTACCCCAGTGTTCCAAGTGTCCCCATCCCAGTGTTCCCAGCATCCCTATCCGGTACCCCAGTGTTCCAAGTGTCCCCATCCCAGTGTTCCCAGCATCCCCATCCGGTACCCCAGTGTTCCAAGTGTCCCCATCCCAGTGTTCCCAGCATCCCCATCCGGTACCCCAGTGTTCCAAGTGCCCCCATCCCAGTGTTCCCAGCACCCTCGCGCTGTACCCCAGTGTCCCAAGTGCCCCTCACCCTTGTGGCAGACTCCCCAGACCCCCCTGCGCTCGGACAGGAGCCAGGTGCGCAGTCGGGGCACCTTCCGCAGGTACGCACAAGTGCAAACCAGCAGCAGCCCGAACACCAGGAGCCCGTCCAGGGAGTAAACTGCGGGGAGGTCGGTCGGGGAGGGGTCAGGGGGCACTCCGGGACCCTGCCCAACCCCCCTCCAAGGAGACCCCCACACTCCGTGTGAACAACCTCCCATCTCTGCCCCTGTGAGGGGATGCAGACTTCCCGGGATCCCTCCGAAAAGGGACACAGACCACCCAGTACCCCACCGACGGCACTCAGAACTGCCAGTACCCCGCTCCCAAAGGAACACAGTCTCCCAGCCACCTCCCAAAAGCTCCTCAGTACCTCCCCCACATCAACCCCACCTCCCCCGCCGCCTGCCGGTACCTGAGTGCTCTCCCTATGGTGCCCCATCAGGCCCCCCGCCTTCGGAACACCCAAAACCGCCCGTACCCCCCTCTCCACAGGGTCCTTGAGGCCCCCGACCCGCCCGGACTCCCCGGCCCCTCCATTCCCCAGTTCCCACCACCAGTCATGGTCGCCCCAGGACCCTCCCGTCCGCCCACAACCCCTCGTTCCCCCGTTCCCAGCATTGGTTATGCGGGCCCCCGGTTCTCCCCAGGCCCTCCTCAGTACCCCTTGACCCCTCGTTGCCCCGTTCCCACCGTTGGTCATGGCGCCCCCGGGCCCCGCGGCGCCAACGCGACAGCGGAAGCGGGCGACAGGCGCGGCCAGCCGAGCGCCGAACCGCCCGACGCGGATCCTGAGGAGCAGGCGGCCTCAATCGAGCGCCTATCAGGGGAGGTGCGTGTGCAGCACTAGTATGGCCCAGTCCGGCCCAGTCCCCGCCCAGCAGCACCGTCCGGCCCAGTCCGGCCCAGTCCCCGCCCAGCAGCACCGTCCGGCCCAGTCCGGCCCAGTCCCCGCCCAGCAGCACCAGTAAACCCGAGCGCGGATAACTGCCGGTCTGTGCAGGAGCTGTCTGTGCGCTCAGACATGTGTGACCAGTCCCCGTCTCAGTCCCCCAGTGACCCCGCAGTATCCCCAGTATCCCGCAGTGCACCCAGTCCCCATTCCAATCCTCCCAGTAACCCACCAGTACTCCCAGTAATCCCAGTCCTCCCAGTAACCCCCCAATGCAACCACACCCCAGTGACCCCCGGATTTCCCAGCAACTTGCAATCTCCCCATAACCCTCCAGCCCCTAGTGCTCATCCCAGCCCCCAGCAAGCCCCTGAGAGGTGATGGGCACCTGATGGGCGGTGGATACTCCAGGGATTATGAGAACCCTAAGAAGTGATGGGAAGATATGGGGTGGCCTGAGACCACAGGGTGGCCTGGGACAGGGACACTTGCAAACAGGGACCCTGAGGGTGCTGGGAGCAGCATGTGAGGACTCCAGGCTGTGTCACCACAAGACCACAGAGGCTGCCGGACACAGGGGCTGGTGTCCAGGATCTCACCCTGTACTGGCATGTGGCTCCTCCCCATTCCCTGGTGACTCTGTCCCAGGTTGGGCCATCCATTGTGGTGACCCCATCCCCGATGACCCTGGTGACTCCATGCTTCTGGTGACTCATCCCCTGGTTCTCCCATCCCCTGCTGATCACCTACATCTCAAGATGGTGACAGGAGTGATGTTCTCTCCCTGGACCTGGCCCCTGATGGCCACAGGAGCATTATTCAGTCTAAGAATTTGCCAAACCTGATATAGGAGTCTCGTAGCCACCAGGACCTGCACTAGGAGCTACTCTTCAGCCACAGCAGGTGGGCATGGGAATGGGCCTGTCTCCAGCTGGGTGTCCGGGTGTGGTGGCTGGTTGAAGCCTGTCCATCATTACAGGGGGATCCTACCCTGGCACAGGGCCAAGCTCCAGAAGATGCTGGTGGCTGAGGTAGCTGTGGGAGGAGCTGCAGGGACCCCCATCTGACCTGGAGCAGCAGCTGAGGAAGCGCCACCACAGACTTGAGGACGTCTGTGATGTCCCTTTGTCCTTGTCTGTCTGTCCCAGCCTCCATCCCTGTATCCAGGCCAGTTCTCCTGCCTTCACCTCGCCGTCTTCCATCCATTCATCCACCCATGTATCCATACATATGTGCATGAATCCATCCATCATCCATCCATGTACCCATGAAGCCATCCCCCCATCCGTATAACCTCCGTATATCCATGTATCCATCCATCCATCCATCCATCCATCCATCCATCCATCCATCCATCCAGCTATGTATCCACTTCCTTCCCTAGGGACAGCCAAGTGCTGATCGGGCTGTTGGAGCAGTTCAGCTGAGTAATGTTCAGGGAACTTGAGGAGTGGCCGAAGGAAGCTGGACAGGGTGGACCACGGGTCAAGGGATGGCCATCAGTGACCAGGTCATGGTGACAGCTGAGGGAACACCTGTGTCAGGAGACAATCGGGTCATGGGGAGGGCTGAGGGAATCCCAACCAGGCCTCATGGCTGCCCCTCCTGCAGCATGAGCAAGAGGTGGCTGGGTCAGAGCTGGACCCTCATCCCAAGTTCCTGCAGGTACGGGACAGCCTGCAGAAGATGAAGCTGGCAGAGGCAGGTGCCTGGCACATGTAAGCCAAAGACAGCCCAGCAGAGCTCCCTGAGCCCCCTGGCACACACTGGGCTGCCCCTGTCCCCAGCACATCCTGGCACTGGGAACAGCACCTGGCACTGCCATTCTGAGTGAGCTTGTGGGTGGGGGTGAGTACTGGAGCCTTGGTTGTCATGTCGATGACAACCAGGATGGAAGGAGGTGGTAACACCAGGGCAGTGCCAGGGGTGATATGGGGGATGCAGGCAACACTCTCCCTCAGACCTGTACTGCTCTGACTCCATGAACCAGAAAACAACAAAATAAAGTCTTTTATCTGTTTTTCTTGATGGAAAAACAGAGATGGGGAAGGGGTGGCATTGTCTTGGGCTAATGGTGCATCGTGGGGTTGGAGGGTGATCATGGTGGCCACTGGCTCATTTTACCTGTGGTGCCACTAGCCCAACTGCAGCTGGTGTCCATCCAAGGCCTTCAGCCATCCCCTGGTGGCACAGAGCCTTCCTTACTCCTTCAGACTCCTTCTCCTTTCTTCTCTGTCTTCTCCTGGTGTTTTCTCCTGACTGCATCTTGCCTACCCCCTGCATCTCCCTGCCTGCTCCCTGCCTATTCCCTGCCTTCTCACCCCATCCTGTCTAGCCCCATCCCAGGAGGATCCCACCCTGCCAGGGGTAGCAATGCAGGATGTGCCCAACTCACTCCAATCCA